CAAAGTTCCGCTACTAAAACTCATTACGAACTACAAATCCCAATTTTCGGACAAAAAAACCCAAAGAAAAAATCTAAAGGTTTTTAATCGATCGAACTATACGGCCAATTTATTTTCTAAGGCTTGAATCGTGGTTGGTTTTTTCTCGTAAACCATGGACTTCAAAAAACTCCAAAGAAAAAATCGAAAGGTGTTAAATCACTGGATCTATGCGGCCAATTCTGGTCTCCAAAACGCGAAATAATACGACCGAGAAATGACTGATGCAGCAATTGAATTGTTTTTCTGGCTGTGTGACATGTGGCGCCGTCTTGTTGAAACCACATTATTTTCTTCAAATCTAGGCAAGAAAAAAACTGATTATCATTTCACGATACCGATTTCCGATTTCACAATTGCGTTCAAGTTGGGACACCCTTTATAAAAAAGAGATGTGAAATAACTGGCTGACCTAGAAACACCTCCCAGACGAAACGGCTGAAGGTAGTATCGTGAAATGATGCATGAGGCTAGTATTGGTGCGTAGGCGTTGGATAGGGCTTTTTTTTTTTGAAATTCGTTTTAAAAGGGTACAAAAATACTAAAATGTACGAAACATTGAATACTTTTTATTGAACAAAGGGAATGAACTAGAACACAGAAGTTGTGAATGAGACCCACAGGTGTAGTGCTAGATAGAGGTACGATAGATATAGTCTTAAAAATTCAATCTTGAAGGTTACGAAAAGTTCTAAAATGGTACTAAACTTCTAAAATGTTACCATTTGGTATTATGTGAACGGATAGAGCAAAAAACTTGAAATTTGGCATGAGAATCAAGGTTGGAATACAAGTTTGATGTATGAAGTTGGTTTGGAAATGTGTACTAAGTGTGCAAACTGTGTGTACTAAGTGTGCAAATTGTTAATAAATTTGGATCAGTTGGGTTTAGGATGAATAGATGAAATTGAAATTTTGTATTGGAGTCTCTGTTGGTGGTAGGTTAGTGATAAAAAGGTGGATTTAGAAATGTGTGCTACGAGTGCACGAAAAGTACTAAATAGTACTTTATTTGGTACAACTTAGTATTTGGCATCTCTCCGCCAAGTGGTTGAAATTTGGTCGCTGTTCATGTGTAGCCTGGACATATGGGTGTGGGCTCGAAAATGTGTACTATAATTGTATAAAAAGGAATAAACGGTTCTATCATTGGTATTGGAAGAAGGGTATACATAAAATTCTACAATGTTATATCCTTTGTAGCTTTGGAAATGTGTATAATTGTCCGAAAAGGACTGCATTTGTCAGTGGGTAAAGGGATAGAGCTGAAACAGCAAAAAATTGTATATTGCGTAAAAGCTGATGTCGAGGATTGTGATATTGCGAAGGGTTTTGGGAAATGGGTACTAAATGTATCCAAAAAGTACTAAATGTTACGAAATTTGATATTGGGTGAAGAGATAGAGCTGAAAAACTTTTTTTGACAAAAATCAAATATTTTCTAAGATTTTACGGGCTATTTTACAAAAAAAAACGGTACCTCTTAAAGGATCTTCCGACCAAACATCGTAGAATTTTAAAATAATTTTCAAATACTTTCTGATCTCATTTTTTTTAATTTTTTTGAGGATTTCTTAACGTACAAATGGTTTAAGGATATCCAAAGCAATAATAGTACATTTTTGAAGACAATGTTTTAAACGACATCCTGACCATTAATCATTTTATGAACATCCTGAATTAATTGGTTTATTGATTAATATCGTGCAGATATACCTTATGCTCCTTCTTCAATTTTTAATGTAATATTTCAAGAAGTAAAAAGTGTATTTTAGATGATTTTTTAAGAAAATTGGTTTAGGGACTCCGAGCAAAAGATCGTTGATTTATTTAAATAATTCCGTCGAGGACTTATTCAAGGACATTGTGACCAAATATCGTAGGTTTATTTATTTATTTATTTTTTTTTTTTTTTGCAAATGCTTCCGGACCAAAAGTTATGGTAAATATATTCTTTATTAGCATTTCGTTCTTATTATATCATTTCGTTGGTGGAAATCACTCTCATTTCGTTGGTGGAAATCATTTTGCACTATTAAGATAATACTTTCAAGGACTAATATTACCTGCAAACAATCTTCCCAAACTAACCTAGAAATTATGGATTTTTTAAATATCATTTCAGTGAACTTCTGCCCAATATTTTAGATTTATTTTTTTAATAATTATATAAATTAAGATTTCCTGGTCAAAAACCGTGATTTTTAAGAACTTTCTGATAAAAAAATAATGGATTTTATTAAAATCGTGGCCTTAATAAAGGATTTCAAATTGAAAGTTGTTAGTAATTTGGGAAGGTATGGTATGACAATAAAAGAGTTACATTTAACTTTCGTACATCTTCAATACAATTCTAATAAAACATCAGCTACACCCAGAGAAAAAATGACAACATCCGTGTATGAAATGACCACATCCGTGTATGATAGTGTATCAACCACGTTTGGTGTCAAAATGAGCACGCTGTTGTCATTTTGACACCGAGATTTTGGCAACGATTTCAACAACAGATGTGCATGAAATGAGCACATACGTGGTCATTTCGAGCACGCCCCGTTGTCAGATTGTCAACGCTTCGTTGTCAGATCGTCAACGCTTCGTTGTCAGATTGTCAACGCTCCGTTGTCGGATTGTCAACGCCCGTTGTCAGATTGAAATCAATGGTGGTCATTTTTTGATATCCGTTCCTTTTCCATTTTATACCCTTAGTAGAAGAAACGACATTTTTGAAAAGTATTTTATTGAACGAAACCAATTACATAAATTCAATATAAATACATATTTGATTTAACAAAACAATTCGAATTACATATATTCAATGTATAGAAACAAATTAAATTAACTTAAATCTGAAATAAACTTTTCCATTATTCATAGGATATAAGTGAAATGGGTAAGTAATAAAATCTAAAATTGGTATTAAAAAAATTGTATCCTCATTCAGAGAACCAACTTCATACGATTGTAAATGGTAATCAAAGTTTTTAACTTTTACTTGGTTACATAAAATGTAAACATTTTCATTTTCAATTATTAAATGTTTAATTTTGAAAAGTTCAATTGCGGCATTATTTGTTGCTAAATAATAGTTTTTTTTATACCTAGTTCCCTTAAAAAAAATGTCATCAGACACTTTGCAATTTTGGTAATTTAAAACTGGCTTACTTTTTTTGTAACAATATTCCTCTTTTGCCAAATCTTCGATGGTATGCGTATTAATGATAACATTTGGTTCTAAGTTATCTTCGTGTTTTAATAAAAAATTGGAAAATTTCAATCCAGACTTAATAGATAATGAACGACAGGGATTTACTCTTGATGTAGTATTTCCTAAATAGGCTTTTGCTTCCTTGTGTTTAGCTTCGAATCTCATGCTCCAGAGATATTTAAGGGGACCACATTTTCGGATAGCTGTGGGATAGTGGACAAGAAAGTGGTGTTTCGGTTTTAACGAACCGTATAATGTTATATAAAGTGAATGGTCATCTCTAATTAATTCTTCCAATTTTATTAAATCGTCTTCTATATAACTTGGTCTTAAAAGTAAATCGATTATTTGTAATAATATTATAAAAACTTTCCAGTGATCGTTGGAGAAAGGAATTAAATCGCCTACCATTAAAGGTAAAAAATTAGTAAAACACATAGTTTCACTAGCTGTCATTTTTAAGTTATAGTTTTTCAATCTACATAAATCTAGTGGTCCAGATTTATTTCCCACTTCAATTTCTCCAAATTGGAATAAAGATTTTCTGCTGTTAATACAATCTAACGTAACAATATTTTCTTGAATCAGCCCGAGAATTACATTAGACATATCGTAGACACATATGCCCTCGAAAATGTCATGCATAATATCAAAACAAAAATTTTCAGTGACGTTAAAATTTGGTAAAGATTCGAAGATACACTTGTTTTTAATACCTGTTTCTTGAAAATTATTTTCCAATACATTTGAGTTGTAATTCTCTTGGTTTCTTAAACTATCTAAATGCTGAATTGCGTCGAATTGCATTTGGGACTTTTTTCTTCTACATACCCGGCAAAATCTTTTAGAGTTAAATGATTGCACGTAGCCTAAAATACTATTAACTGCTAAATTATCTCCAATAATTACACCTAAAATAAAATGCACCTTCTGAACACTTTGTTGAACACAAATTTCAACCCCTTCTTCTAGAATTTTTAACTCTTCTACAAGATTGTGAAATGAAACTTCATTTCCACGTTCTTTTAAATCCTTTGATGGTATAAACGCAGCAGTTAATATATAATCAAGTTTTGACAACAAGTGCTGTGGCATTGAAGGAAAGCTAATATAACAACCACATATGGAAAATGTATGGGTTCCAAGAGGATTATTAATTTGAAAATCATCCATGTAAAGGACATAGGGAATAACTAAATTGTACTGATATTTTAATAATTTAGTTTTATATAACTCACCGTTTGTAAAATTTTGTAAAACAGGTGAATTTAGGAATTTTTTGGAGTTTTCTAATGTCAAATCTAAGAGATTTGGAATTTTAAAAAGGGCACTTATCATGAATTTCAGTGGCATTATATAAATATTGGATAACTTTGGACCTAAACTGGGATTTCCGCTGATAACAATTTCCGAGACTTGATTGCTAATTACATAAACCTTTGGATCATCATAAAAGTTTAGTTCTTTTAAAATTTTTAAAAGTCTATATTCCGTTCTAGTTTCTTCGAAAGGATTTTTACAAAAGTTTAGTAAGTACCTTAAGTCTTCATAATTTGGATGATCAGTTATATATTTTTCAATTGTACATGAAATGGATGAAAGCAGAATTGAAACAGAATGTTGTATTTCTATAACATGATTTCTAGGCATATAGCTTTGACCATGTAATTGTAAAGACAGATATAAGGTTTTCTTTTTCAAAACATTTAAATCCTTTTCTATTGTATTGTTGTTAATAACAGTTTCACTGTTTGTATAATCATTTTCTTTTGATGATGACATTTCAACTGGCACATTAATGGCTTTAACCATTGGTGGAGCTTTTGTGTGATTCTTGTGAAGTTTTTCTAAATGAATTCTGAATGACGTAAATTTTGTAAATGTTTGCTTACAGTTGTCCTGAACGCATTGTACTTTTAAAAATTTAGTGGACATTAAATGGTCTGTTTTCAAATGAGCTATTAAAAGATTTGCCTTATCAAAATGCTTACGGCAACGAAAGCAAATATACATTTTGAATTGTACTTTAATTATTGTTGCAGAAATTAATAAGTGAAGTCAAATTAACTGATTTTATATCATATACAGTATTAATTTCATAAAAATATTTTTGGATAAAAATCCATGGAATTTGGCAGGCATTTGGATATTTTAAAGAAAGTGCATGAAAAATTTTAAAACATGTATCTAAACATTCGAGGAACGATTGAAATTTTAACAAATTGTGGTTAAAAAAAACATAAAAACCTTTTATATTGAAATCGGACAAACCCTCCACAATTATAAATGGCTGTATAGTTAATCCAGCATTGTAATACTTTTCAGTGACTGTATCAATTTGCCTTTTATAATCGTTAATTGTCGGTAGTCGCAGTACGAAACTTTCCTGCGAATCAGCTATTGTTACTTTTTTTCGTAATTTACCGTTTCCACATTTAAACCTAGCAGGTGATGGTAAAACTGAATTCAACAGTATTGCGTATATATAATCTTGAGCATCTGCAACCGAAATATAAAATAAATATTACTTTTAATGTTTATGATAAATCAGGAATTAAAATTTACCTATGCTGCTTGCCGTCAAAACATTTGCGAAGAGTTGTTTGCAATGTTCGTTATGAATATTTTTCCCATAATAATTGTAAATTTTTTTCTTAAATTGGTCCCATTTAGAAAGTAGAAGATTGCCTTTCTGTGGATACATAATATCGAAATCAATGTTGACCTAAAACGAAACATTAGTATCCATATACAAATAAATAGCTCATGGCTACTTACCAATTCTGAAGCTCTTGCATCGGACAACTTCGTCCATTCAAGGAGAAATGTATGGCTACTTAAATTTTTTATATCTCTTTGCCGTATGTTAAAAGATCTTTTCCATTTTTCGCAGATCGATCCCCAATCATTACATTCTCTTAGTAAGGAAGCTTTCAATGAATTTTCAACTGATTCATCAATTTCGGGAACATCTTTGTTACAAAAATTAGGAGATGTGTGAGTTGCTGCTTTGCTTGTGCTAGGCTCGGAAATCAAAAGCTTTATTCTTTTGGACTTCTTGTTTCTATACTTGGCATAAAGTTTTCCGCTTGCGTTGTTCTTTCCTTTTCTTGAAATGTAATAATAATCCTAAAAATAAAGACATATTATAAGTTAAGAAACTACATAATCAGATACGTTGTTTATATTGTTAATCTTACCCTCATTTCGTTTTCAAGAGGAAAAACGGAACAAATTTCATCCAATATGCGCATATAGTCTTGAGTGTAAAGAGTAACATTGTTGGTTAAAATATCTTCAATAATTATATTAATTATATCATCTCTTTGCTCGTCACTTAATTTCTTATTAACGCTACTACATTCAAGCGCTAGTTTCCCCTTCGAGGTATGTGTTAACAATTCCGTTAGATCCTATATTAAATAAAAAAACTACATTAACTATGCTTACACAAATATTACTCTTACCTTACCTCTGACAAAATTCCTTTGGCTTTTGAGCAGTTCGAACCTGTAGTGTCGGGAGTACCAGGAGTACTTGCAGGTGTCTCGTTGCGTTTCCACCATTCACCTATTTTAGATGGAACTGACATAGTTTCGTCATCAATCCCGAGCTATTGTTATGACAATATTAATACTGAGTTCAACTCTGTAAAACAAATAATACGTACCTTTCGTTTTTTCCAAGCAAAGAGCTTTTCTCTGAATTCAACACGCAGTCCCAATGGTGGCACTGCTTCCTTTAAATCTTCTTTTTTCAAGTACTGCAAGCTGCGAAATGTTACATGTGATGCTAAAAGAACAAAAAAGAAAATTCTTTGTTAATTACACTGATTAACTGAAAAATTCATTTTTATTTACTTACCTTTTAATTGTTCAAAAAGCGACTCCATATTTATTCCTTTTAAGAACTCCCTTAACATATAATCGTCCTCATTGTTTTCCGCATCTTGACTGCTGCAATGGTTTGTATCGCGAACCACAACAATATTGCCATCGATTTCTAACAACTCACCAATGATATTTTGAGGATCTTGCGAATTATTATTCATTTTCAATAAATTTTTTGCACAATGCGTCCTTTCTCTTTCAATAACACGGAAAAAATGGTAAATATGCAGCCGATTGCACACGAGTAAAAAAAATGACAACGGTGGTGCATGATTCATACACGGTAGTTGCTAAAATGGCAACGATCGTGTACGATTCATGCACGTCGGTGTACAAAGTAACAACGGTGGTGCATCATTATGCAGGTGGTGGTGCATAATTCATACACGACCGGTGTCATATTGACAACGACCGTGTGTGAATCATGCACCACCGTTGTCATTTTTTACTCGTGTGTAATCGGCTGCAATTACCAATATTACAAATGGACAAATTAAGCACGGCTGTTGTTGGTACCGAAAGTTGACCACGTCTCGGTGTCAATTTGAGCACGTTCGTGCACAATTCACCAACAGCCGTTGTTGAAAAATATAACAACGGGTCGTTGCGAAAATGACAACATACGTGCTTGATTTCGCAACGGGATTTTTCCCTCAGTGTACCATTCGACTTCAACTACTTATGTATTTATTTCAATTCTTTTAAACAATTTTTATCATTCTAACCAAGCAACTCTTTTTTAAAAACGAAAACACAACGGTAAAAATAATTTCATCAAAGGCCAAATAACAATCTTATACTCCAACACAATTACATTCTCTCACATATCAAATTTATGGTGTAAAAAAATCGCCCCCCACGCACACACACACATCATGTCCGTTAATAATGAAAAATCCCTTCCTTCTGCCGCCGACGACAATGTTAGCGATAGCATACAATTGTATGTAAACATGCAGCCAATTGTTAAATAAAATTAACGTTTATTTTAGCACAATCACGCTAATAAAAAGAGCTACACACGCTTACCGCCGACAGAAGTTCCTGCGAACGCACCGATGTTCATCAACTCATTCTTCAGATGAATTCTATTTTTGTTCTCGTCTTTCGCACAACCCGTTAGTCCAAGTTGGAGTATGAAAAAAAGGACACACACGTACATTCTTTTTAAATGAGATAAACAGTGGTTGCAAGGTGTTTCAAAAATGCATTATGAAATGAGGGAACTAATGTAGCCAGTTTTTGGGCCCGGCTTAGGATCTAGGATCGTAAATACTAGTAGAAAATAACGAATAATTCTTCACAATTTTATCAAGGGTTTTCCTGAAAAATGTTATATGAAAAAATACAGCGGGTCTTAATGAAAAACTTTCGTAAAAAATACACCATAGTTGATCAGGAAATTCTTAAATATTATCAATTTTGTTCTGGAGGACCTGAAACCCCCCCCCCCCCTCCAAAAAAAAAATATCAAAATTTTTGGTCTTGACAAATTTGTATTTAAAAAATCTACGAGTTTTGATCAGGAGGTCCTCACAAAAATCTTGAAAAGTTCAAATATTTCTCCAAGGGGCCCTTCAAAAATTCTGAAAAAATTAAAAATGTTCCCAATTTTTTTCTTAAAAATCCGCGATTTATGCCAAGAAAACGTTGTAAAAATATTCCATACAAAATTCTAAACATCCGGAGTTTTCTCAAGGCGACCTTGTTAAAATATTATTTTAATAATATTTCATACGAAATAAAAATATCCTTAACAAAATCCATAATATTTGGTTAAGCGGGATAATGTAGAATTTTTCTCATAAAATCTATGAGACTCTTGAAAAAAATTAAAAATTCCATGAAAAACATTGTAAAAATATTCTGTAGATTTTAAATTTCTCAATTTTTGTCTTAAAAAATATTTTTTGGAAAAAAATCTTAAAATTTGACTATTTTTTAAAAATATTTTTTAAATAATCTAAGATTTTTCTCAATCAAAAATACTCTCTTAATAAAATTGCTTACAAAATTCACGTTTATCGGTTAACGAAACCCCGCTTTTGGAAAAAGCGGAAAAAATCCTTAAAATGCTAGATTATATTTCTAGGATATAAAAAACATTTCTTTAAAAAATCTACGATTTTTGTCAATCGAGTTCCTGCAAGGGAAGGAAGGTCTTTGAATAAACTCCAATAAAAACAAACGAAGGTCATTAAAAAACAAATCTGTAATAATCCGCGATTTGTCGTAGGATGATTCTTGAACATTTTACTCAAGAAATCTAGGAAACTCCTGAATTAAATTTAAAACAAATTCACAATTTTCGTCAGGGGGCCCTTGGAAAATATTCTATGATTTATTTTTAATAGAACAGTGTTGGCTTGTTTGTTCGGCATACCGTAGTATTTTGTTGTTGCAAAATGGTCAGGCTTTATAAAACAACGTTTGTTTATTAGTGGAGAAAGATGGTAATGTTTACCAGGGGGTAAGGCAGGGCCAATCCTCATCAGTTCCCTTGTTTTTTTGTCTATTTTATTATTATTTTAAAAATGACTTCTATGACAAAAACATTTTTTTACCCAAGTGACGAGATCGCAAGCTCAATAGAAGAGGAACCAAAGAATTAAATAAAAAAAACAATTCTTAAATATTCGCCATTTTTAAACGGAATGTCCTCAAAAATGTCTTTAAAAAAAATGATTTTGTGTTGTAGGCCCTGAACAAAAGGAGGTGCTCTTAAAATCCACGATTTTTGGTGAGAAAATGTCAGCGAAAATATTCCATCATTTCTTTTTCAATCAACATTTTTGGGTTAGGATGTTTAGGCGGAAGGTTCTCAAAAATGTCCTGGAAGGAAGGTCCTTGAAAATAAATTGAAAAATATCTGTTTTTGCAAAATCAGACGATTAAAAAATTGAGTTAAAAGATGCCCTTAAAATAGTAAAAAAATTGTTATAAAAATCAAAGATGTGTGTAGGAGGCCCTCAACAAATGTTTTTCAAGAAATCTACGATTTTCGGAAGGATAGGATCAACTTGGGTAGATTCTTGAAAACAGCCACAGTTTTTGTCAAAGGAGTTCTTTCGAAAATATCCTTTGATTTTTTTTTCGAATCCACGATTTTTGATAAGGTTGTCCTTGAAATATAATTCTTAAAAACGCAAAACAAACGATCTTTACAGTGTGAAAAATCTCAATAACTAACAAATTTTTTAAAAAGTCACATGTTCTTGCCAAGGAGGTTTTTGAATTATATAAAATTCCCCCACTTCTACTTTTGTTACTTTTTTATGAAATCCACTTTTTTTAGGGATTTTTTTAAAACCTGGATTTGTTTCCTTAAAAACTCTACGCTATTTGACTGGAGGGATTTTTTTTAATTTTTGTACAGAATATCCTTAAGTTTTATTTTTTTAAGAATCTACTATTTTTTGAACAATTTTTGCAAAACATCCATGAATAGTGGCCAAAAAATCTTTGAACATTTTTTCATAAAAAATAGTGTCTATGGTCAGAAAATTTTTGACAACAATTTTTTACTGGAAAAATTGTCTGAAAAATCTCAGATTTGTTTTTAAAAAGAACCAATTAGAACACCAATCCTCATCAGTTCCCTTGTTTTTGTCTGGGATATTCTCCCCAGAAGTTATTTTAAAAATAACTTATATTAAAAATTTTAAAAAGGTTTAAAAAATCTACACTTTTTACCCAAAGATGTCTTCTAAACATGTTCTTAGAAAATGCGCAACAGTCTTGAAAATATATCTTACAATCTTTAATTTTTAAAAAATTCTCGATTTTTGGTCTGGAGGTCCCTTAAATAATTTCTTCAAAATCTAGATTTTTATAGAGGAACATGTAGTTAAAGTATTCCTTAAAAGGCCTCTAAAAATATATTTTTAGAAACTATTATTTAAAAAAAATCTCAAACGAACCCGGAAAAAAATATTTCTTTAAATGGCCCTGTAAAAAGGAGCTCCTCAGAAGAAAAATCCACAATTGTCTTCAAAACAAATCTTACAATATCCAATATTTTTAAGAATGGAAAAATACAGTAAAAATCCACTATTTTAAGTTTGGTGACCTTAAAATAATTTTTAAAAAAACTCAGTTTTTATCGAGAAAATTCTTGAAAGCATTTTCTTAAAAATTCACAATTTCAATTCAGGGGACTTTTTAAAAAAATGAAATTTGTTTTTTTAAAAGGGGGGGGAAATTCCTTAAAATGGGCTTGAAAGAAAATGGGGTCCTTGGAAGAAATATTAAAAACGCTTTTTTCTCAATACAACTGTGTAAAAAGTATTCAAAAAAGTCGATGAGGTTTTTGAATTTTTTTTTATTAAAAAAGAGTCCTTATCAAAAATATTCGAAAAAACATGAGGTACTTGATTTTTTAAATACACATTTTTTTGAGGACCTTCAAAAATATTGGAAAATATTTTTAAGGTCCACAAATCTTCGACAAGAAGTCCCTTAAATTAATACTTATATTACGATGTGCTTAGTTTCAATCACTGCAGATACTTCCTTCTATCTTTCTTAAGCTTATGAAAGTTTGATGGAGTGAGATAATAGTATTTCGATGGACCAAGTTTGTACCAAATCGGTTGCACCCCCGATAGCTATTATGAGAACCAACCTGCATGATAAATTGTAATTGTTTTTTTTTTTTTCCTTTTGACAAATATAGGAACAAATCTCCAATAAAAAAATACAAAAATTCCTTTCCACACCCACTGTACCGAAAAAATTCCTTCCCAACAAAAAACACACCAACAACCAAATTTTCAATACTTTCCTTTTATGGACCCTCGGTTTTTATGGCCGAACGTGACTGTCACTGCCATAAAAAAGAGTTCCTCGCTCCCGTTGAGTTTTTGTTTTGTTCAACGTCGTCCTTGTCGCCTCTTTAGAAATTATCCTTTACGCTCGTGCGAAAAAACTCTTTCTCCATCCCTTTTTTACGAGCGGTCGGTCAGTGGGCAAGGTTGTTTTTGGTTTCCTCATTGGCCACTTAGACATTTGACTACCGGCCGGCAAAAAAAGGGCTAGGGAAAAACTCTTACCATCCCGCAAAAAAGCCTTGAAAGCAAAATGGTGTCTTCCCTTGGAAAACAAACTTCTTTGGAATTCCGTTTTCCGACACAAAAACCGCTGACCAACCGCTGAGTTAGTGGGGCAATAAAATGTGTTTACGCGCTACGCTGGCTAACATTTCGTCATAGCCGCCGAAACTATGCAATATTACCAAAAGCCAAAGGTCAGGTAGTTAGTCTAACTCTTCGTGGATTAAAATATCGCGGGCTGGCTAACTTCCTGGTTAAGATTAACTAAGCCTTGCTCATTTCCTCATAACTTTAACTCAAAACGGCTGAAATTATCCTTCCATAAGCCGTTGCTTAGCCAGCCTTTATTGGCAGTTATGACATTGCCTTGCCATAAAAGTGGAAACCCACCAAGGTCGCAACGATGTTGACAACATTGCATAGCAGGAATTACATAAAATTTTGCAAGTCCTCTGGAATAGCGGGAGGGAGAGTGTGCATGCACACTTCTCCGCCATTTGGCTGGCTGTGTGTTACATAAATTGTTGTAA